GTAAATTTATGGAATAACCTACCATTACATATAAAATTATCACCAACCTTACCTATTTTTAGACGAAATGTAGAAAAAATTATAATTAGCCAACGTATGTAAATAAATGTTTGAATATGTCCTTTGTACAAGATGTTTGACTATTACTATTGTTTAAGACAATGTCTCTTGAACAATTAATATTGACTTCTTTATTAATTTTGAATCTATATCTCATTTAGATGTACATTACATTATGCACTAACGAACTCTACATGTTTTATCTTTGATTGTATCATTTTATGTAATATGTTGTTTGAAATTAGAAGGCCCCGGGGAAGAATAGTAACTGGTACTAATCGGGTTACCTTCTCTAAATAAAGCATTATTATTATTATTATTATTATAATGAATATAATAGTAATTATTGCAAGTAATTTCATTTATATGACATGTTCTTGTTTAATAAAGGTATTATATGACAGTGTATGTATTGTACCTAGGTTTATACTGAGCAACTATACTGTTCACATTATTGAACTTATGTACCTTTTTTCTATACCTAAATATGGGTTCAACCAATCAGCAAAGCTCTTATCCATCACGTGATCATTATTGATCCGTTTACCAAAAGAGAAAAAAAGGTTTTACCCATCTTTTTTTTTTTGTTCGAATGAGTTAAAGAGATTTTAGTATTCAAAATTCTTTAGCACACGCTCTCACTGAACAAGTATATTTTTGTACATCGTAATAAATGACAATTCCATGTATTAGGTTACTGAGAATGAGACCGACATCTATTTTGTGCACCTCGCAATATTGCTGCGGACTGCAGGTTTTTCCATATGATTTTTCAACATAATTCAGTTTTACTCTTATCTACAGTTTTTTCCTGGGCGGCGAGGGAAGCATAGTTGTGTTCATTATAATGCTTGGCTGATTGATTTGTTACTAGCTGTTTGTTATTTTGTTTTCCCACCTTTTTTGATGGCTGGCAGTAGTTCAGAGCATTTTGTACATATCTTCGAACCTTGTGATGTTAATAAGGGGTCAACATGAAATACATGTATTTTGTCCCTTGTGAAAGATTACAGGGTTTGAATTCTTTTTCTAGTCCGATTTGCCTCCCTTTTGCCTAAATACATCATGTTACAATGTCATTATGGTGCTGGGAGTCAGATTTGGACATATTTTGCCTAAGATGTGTAAAACTCAATATTTGAGTCCCCCTTTTTCTGACCCCAATTTTGTTAACTATGTTTTGACACTATCTATGTGGGGTTTGGAGGGTTTGGGTTAGGGTTAAATCTAACCCTAACCCCATATCCGTAAATTTGTTATATCAGAGTTCATTGTTATGGGTCAGAATAACCCTAAATGCCAGCAAAGATCAATAACACAATTTAAACTTAACAATAATTTATTAACATTAATATATACAAATCATAAAGTACAAACTTAGCAAGAATCTAAAAATACATACATCAGAGTGTCCGTTGCTGCATACAATGTCCAGTGTAAGTATATCCCAGTCTCTTTATATCTTACTTGTACGACAATTATTTTTTATGCATCGAATTGACAGTGTATTTATACAGTACTATAAATCTAGAAAATTCTAGAAGTTGTAAGTACATGATATTACTGGAAAGTTCTGTACATACACAAAGTTCAAGAATGTTCTAGAAAAAATGACCGAACATGTTGACCACTCTGGAATGTTCAAGAAACTTAATGTTACTAATAATATACATGATGAAACAATACAAATACAACACACCTCACAACATCATTATAACCGTAAAAATTTTAAAAGAAAAGTTAAGAATTGTGCCGGGAACCCAAAAAAACTTCGCTATATCCGTGTTCATACTAAACGATTTTTACTGTATATTCATTGACAAGGTATATAAAATTTTAAAAAATTTAAAAAATCAAAATGTATTTTGTAATTTAATTAATTACTTTTGTAAAGTAATTGTAATTTAAGTAATTACATGTCTTAGAAAGCATGTAATTTAATTGTAATTCAATTGAAGAAAATGTCAAGGTAATTGTAATTTAATTAATTACTTTTCAAAGTAATTGATCCCATCCCTGTCTGGTACACACATGCGATCTTCTTAAGATTTAATAGTAAGTGAAGAAAATATTCTCAGACACCATCATTAAGTATTGTGATGGCAAGTTTCTTCGTCTTCGCCCCGTCTCCCTCGCTATCGTCTCTTTTTACATGTTGTTGTTTTGTTTTTTTTTTAGATTTTTCGTAGACTTTACTTTACTGGCCCCCAGATCCACAAAGTCCTCGTGCTCATAGGACTATGACGTAAAATTTACGTCACTCAACTGATAATGATTAAATGTACATATTATTCGATCGATCAGGGTTAGTCTTGCACCAGTCCAAGAGATAAGGGTTAGTCCTAGCACATTATTCGATTGATTAAGGATAGTCTAGCATCTGCCCGATGATTTCATCTAAATGTCTTAGTCCTTCGATACCCTCCAAGATAAATTAAGAAATTCAGTTGCTTCTGTAATTTTTACAAGATCATAATTCAGCTTCAACGACATCTTGTTGATTTGTTTAAACGGAAAAATAGCTAAGTCCGAAAGAAATGACACTAAGCATGCGCAAGGTAATCGCTTCGTTCAGAATTATTCTTTGTCGTTTTTTTTTCATGAATAAACAATATTTTTAAATTTTTCAGAGAACAAGATTAAAAAAATTGTTTAAAAAGGATGTTTTAAACTAAACTTTTAACCGTAGAATAAGATTTTGTGGTCAAAAGGCAAAACAAAAAAATCATATTTAAGTTTTTTCGATCGTTCAAATATCTTATATATATTGAAGTCGCCTTCAGCTACACAACATTTTAGCGCCTTTTTTGGGGACAGGTAAAGTAACATTATTAACAGATTTTTTTGGTTGCCAACAATTCAAATATATATATATATATACATATATATATATATATATATATATATATATATATATATATATATATATATATATATATATATATATATATATATATATATATGATAAAAAACTTTAAAACACTTTTCGAAATATTTCAACCGTGTTACCGGCCTTCATCAGTCGTGTTTATTTAAATGCATAGCATCCTCGTTTTCGCAAGTTCTTTTTCACTTTATCACGTTGGATAACGGATTTCTCACAACAGATCTTTACAGCAAACCAACTGACAAACATATGTACCTTAACAAAACCTCCAGCCATCCCGAATCTACAAAAAGTTCAATTCCGTACGGCCTTGGTCTTAGAGCACGTCGTATTTGCTCCACAGAGGAAAACTATCAAAGCCAACGTGATAAAGTGAAAAAGAACTTGCGAAAACGAGGATATTCTAGGAACGAAGTAGAAAAACAACTTACGAAAGTTGACAAACTCAATCGCTCGGATCTACTAAATTATAGAAAAAATAAAACGCGATGTGACCGTGTTCCCCTTGTGTTGACCTATTCAAAAGGATTACCGAATATTCATAACATTTTGAAGAAAAGACAAAAAATTCTTGAAAATTCCGATCGCCTGAAACTCGCGTTCAAAAAGACTCCAATCGTTGCCTATAAAAGAGACAAAAATTTGAAAGACATTTTAGTGTATAAAAAACACAACAATTTATTTTTTTAAAAAGGAAATTTATGTGAGCCATGTGGTGCTAAAAAATGTATTTTGTGTAAATTTGTTGTGAAAACTAGCCAGTTTGAAGATAATAACGGATGCACTTTTCAAGTCAAAAATTATATTAATTGTAAATCAAGGAATGTTGTTTATGGAATTTTTTGTAAAAAGTGTGACAAAATAGTGTATGTGGGAGAAACTGGTGATAGTTTATATCAAAGACATGTTTTGAATTTGTCTTTAATTAGAAGGGAAACAAATGATCCTGTTGCTACTCATTTTAATTCAGATGCACATACAGTAGAAGATTATAATATAATAGGCATTGAAAAACTGTATAAGAATGACATTTACCGCAAATATAGAGAAAATCTTTGGAAGAAAAAGTTGAACACTTATATACCATTTGGTATTAACAAAAGAGAACACTTCTGTCTTTGAATTGGATTTATGAACATTTGTGTGACATTGTGATACTTATTTTTACAGATATACTTTTATATATACTTTAAAATCATATTTTTAATATACCCCGTATTCTAGTATTTTATTCTGTATGATAAAAATTTTGATACACAAGTACAATTTTTGCTCTCACAATATCTTCAGATGTTTTTGGCGCAATTTTATTGCATGACGTTGCCTCTCAATTTCTATGTTCATTGTGACGTCATAATACTGTTGAGTTGCTATGCATTTAAATAAACACGACTGATGAAGGCCGGTAACACGGTTGAAATATTTCGAAAAGTGTTTTAAAGTTTTTTATTGTATTGACAAAAAGAAAAAAAGAGACTTTGGATATATATATATATATATATATATATATATATATATATATATATATATATATATATAAGGTTGGATATTCAATGTATTTGTTGACAAGGTCATTTTATCGATCTCAAAACTTAGGAAATGATAAATTCAAATAAGTCTGCTGATATTCTTGTTTCATTTACTTCTTTGTCGATAATTTACCTCGTATTAGAAATTGTAAAACGTAGAACATGCTCTTCATTATCGACTCAATTAAGAGATATAAACTCCGTATGCAGGTGAAGGTGTACCGGTATCCCTGCATGAGTAATGGAAGTTGTCGATTAAAAAGTTAAAATCATTACTTTTATCATTAAGCTTTCTGACAATGTTCTACTTTTATCGAAACTTCTTTAATTTGTTTCGTCGAGAAACATTTGTTTTTTAAAAAAGATGGTTTATCTCAGCATTCTGTACAATTTATAAAAACATTTCAGGATAGTATAGATGATACATAAACTCTAGTTTTTGTATACCATCTTCATCATAGTCTTTTGTAGAGCTTTAGTATACTTCCAGGGCAGCCTAAGGTTTTGGCTAACCACAGTATGTCTTAGTTTCTGTGTCTGATCATCATCTGAGTCTGTTTTAATGCTTTATATTTACGTTTCCAGTAATACCATACCGGGTATCTAGTACCAATCACAGCAGACTGGGCGTACTCTCCGTTCAGGTTTGAGTTGTGACATGCTCTGTACCACCAGGCACCGTAATGTTTAACAGCACAGTTCTTAGTGCTCAAGTCGTTATCTTGATCTTTTGTGCTGAATCCCATCCCATTAAGACGAGCAAAACTGTCACCTGAAAAAGATCTAGAGCATTGATTATATGCATGGAATCTGCTTATTCAATTATTCCATTATCACTGGTTTTTTAAATAGCCACAAGATATGAGTCCCCTTTTATGACCAAAAAGTAAGCAAAGAGGAATAATTCACAAAACTGTTTTAAAGTAGGGGTCTAGTCGTGTGACGTCATAACCGGATCGGACTCCCGGATAGGTTTTTAACACTATTATTTGTCGATAACATCCCGCAGTAATGGCGGCAAGAAATAAGAAGGGGAAATTCGTGAAATCCTCGCGTATAAAGCAAAATGAAGTCCTGAGGAGAGAGTGTGTAAAATATTGGGACCGCAGTGATGATAATACTTCTAAAGTAAATGTTGAAACACCTGTAATCACTCCAGTTACGAACGAAGACCATGTGTATCACTGTGTTGACCCCCTTGCTAGCGATGTCCGTGTTGCTTGAGAGGAAATTGTTGAGCCAACAGGTAAAAATGATTGGAGCGAAGGTAGACGTATAATCGAACTTGGTATCCTTGCAAATAATTTAAAGGAGTGCAAGAGATGTGGACAACCTTTGCATTTATCCAATTGTGTTGGAGAGACTAGATTCGGACTCGCTCAAATTCTCCAAGTGCAGTGTAGATACCAGGAGTGTAGGCTACTTAATGATGTCCCAACAGGCAAAAAACATCTAACAGAAAAGGGAGGAAAAGCATGGGATATTAATACGAAAGAAGCAGTAGGTAAGTGTATTATAGTTCTGAAATAAACTTGGAATTTGGATTAACTTGTATACATTGGTGTTTTTAATCAGGGGTGTGCAATAGATATTACAAAAATAAATTATTAGCCCGTTGGGCTAACAAAGTTACTAGCCCGATGTTGCCAGTCACGCCCATTAACTACTGAAAACAATACATGTATAAGTATAACATAAAGATTAAAAAAAACATTGTAGTTGAAATAAATAAAACAAATAAAGGTTTGCGCTTTGTAATTGTCAGGTACTTCACCCTATTTATATCGACTATAATTGTCAGTGAGATGACTGGCGATAGGAACACACAATGCATATAGGTTAAAACGAATTTAAGATTTTGATTTTACAGAAAAGTTAATTCGTAACTAAATTCAGTCGAGGTAAATACATGTTTACTTTCGTTTTAGATTTACTAGCGTGATGGGCTAACGCAGTTTAGATTTAAGATTGCCCGATCTCTAAAATTGGTAGCCCCGGGCGTCGGGAGATGATAATTGCACACCCCTGTTGTAATCTTTGATTATTGTTTTAAATAATTGTGTTTGTAATATTTTAGGAATGATCAATGGTGGCTTCGGAGAGTCTCATTTAAATGCCTTCTTAGCAGCACTAAACATTCCAGGAATTTCGAAGGGAGGTCTAAAGGAAAGGGAAAGGGAAGTTGGCAGTACACTGAGTAAAATGGCAGAAGAAAGTTGTCGTACCAGTCTATAAGAGGAAGTTGAAAAGTATGTTTATTGGTATTTGTCAAAATAATTTGAATTATTGAAAAGAAATAGAAATTTCATGCATGATAATTATTGGATTTTTCTTCAGGAGTGATGGTAATCTCACTGTCAGCTTCGATGGTGCCTGGCAAAAACGGGGTACTGGGCGTGCCTACAATAGCCTTACAGGTATTTTCTTATGTTTAAAAAAAGTCATCAATTATCCTAATTAGTAATTTGAATTGGATGCTTTGACTTTTCACTGATTACTAAAATAATACAAAGTATTTACTGCTATTGAACAATTTTCTTTTATGTTTGAAGGACATGCAAATTTGATTGGGGAAAAAACCAAGAAATGTGTTGGTTATGCTGTAAAATCTAAAAAAATGCAGAATATGTGACTTGGCAAAACGAAAGGATGTTCCTGTGAGGAAGCACAAATGCAGTCGAAACTGGTCAGGGTCAGCCAAATCTATGGAACCTGCTATGGCTTGCGAGATGCTGCAGAGCATACAAGATCAAGGTGAAAAGGTATGAATTGTATAGATATGTTCGATTTTATATATATATATATCTGTGTACATTCAATATTCAAAATCCATGAAGAGCTAAGAGGTGAAAGCGCTATGAATTAAAATGCCTTCCATGAAATCTTTATTACATATTTATATATATCTGAAGATTGTAAATGAAAGTGCTGATGCATTACTGTTTTTTATTTTGCTTATAATTATAAAATGTTGTTAGGTTACTACGTTAGTAATGGACAACGATTCTACAACAATAGCCAGATTGAGAGCTACTGTTGATCCAGATATAAAGAAAAATCACATGAAAAAAGGTTTAACTGGAAGTCTTGTGGAAATCAGCAATACCCATAAAGTATTGAAAAATGTTAAAGTTAGAACTCACATTGAGAGATGCTTTACATATTGTGTTCATCAGGCATCTGAAGATCCAGAAAAGTTAGCCAATGATCTGGGGAAAAATGTTCCTCATTTATATGGTAAGAATACTACTTGCAAAAAGAATGAACACATATTTAATGTTAGATAGACACTTGCAAGAAAAATAATTTTGTTTTCTAATTATTTTTAGAAATATTTAGAAATTGGTCTGAGTTCATGATAATGTATGAATGCTGTATTTGTATTAGTGTATTTAATCTTAATAGGGGACCATTCCATGTGTGGCACATGGTGCAAGAGTGAACAAACTGGTTACAAACCAAAAAACTTGCCATATGGGAAACCTCTAACAAGTGAGCCTCTGAGATCAGCTCTAGAAAAACTGTTTGAGAAGTATGCAGACCGGGCAACTGAGTTGGTGTCGATGGGATCCACTCAAGTGAATGAAAATTTTAACCACATGGTCTCTAGCAAAGCGCCTAAAAGAATGTAAGAATTTTTAATTTTCAAATTTATGAAATGATAAAAACCATGCACATAGATAAAACATATACCTTTTATTAATAAGACTATGTCACCTAAACTGTTCATAGGTTTTATGGAGGTTCAGACAGTCTGCATAGTAGAGTATCTGCAACTGTCTGTCAGAAAAATGAGGGGTATAATTATATAACTGAGGTATACAAATGAAAAAAAATGTTCTTTGATGTTTTTTTGATGTTCACACATGGCAGTTTAGGCAATGTCTATAAAGTAAAGTATTTAAAAGGAAACATCAAAAATACCCATACATAGCCTAAACTTGTTTGTGTAGTTTTTGTTCTTGTCTTGTTTACATTTTTTTTTATTTACTTGACCCAGTTTCATTTTTAATGCATTATTGATTTTCAAGGGTTTTGAAAGTTTTTAGAGAATTATATCTATAAAATGTGTGAATTTATTGTAACAGTAAAACTCGTTTAGTACGAACACGGATGTTGCAAATTCACGGATATAGCGAAGTCATCTTGGATCCCCATCTATATAAATTTAATGAACTTCTTATATGGATATAAAGAATTACATATATATATGAAGTAATTTTATAGGTCCCGGTGACTTTGTTATAAATGAGTTTTGCTGTAATACATTTTAATGCAGACACATTTGATTTTTTACTCCATAAAATATATAATCTCTTTACTTGAAAAAAAAAAATTATTACATGTTTTACGTATCGATAAGGATCTGTTGATTCTTCTTTTTCTTTTCCAGAAAAAGTTTCTAATTTCATATTTGTTATTTTTCTCAGGTGAATAAAAGGCTGACAATGTCTCCTGGAAGATACACCCTCAAGCATTCCAGGATCCTACAAAGCAGACTGAAGCTGAAGCGATTACAACAAGCAAAGCAGAGCACAAAGCGGAGGCGTTTAGAGCTAAAGTCAGAGCGGTCTGCAAAAGATGCATCACAATCTGTTCTTGAAGGTAAGTCAGATAAATACAATTTATCTGAAACTTAATTTATATGTGTGATGTTTCTTTTTACCTATCATTTTTTCCAAACATTTCTATTGCAGCGGATACATACAGCAGCAAAATTGGTTTGAGCGAAGAAGTTGATTTGGAAGACATTTCTCTGAATAAATTAGATCAACTACCAAGTACTAACAAATCTTACATGGTATTTGACCTAGAGACTACTGGTTTAGTTTGTAAACTATTTTTTTTCTTTGTAGAAATATCTAAGGAATATATTATATAAGGTTAAGAGAATTGTGTTGCACTTGACTTAGAAGTATACACTATGGGAGTTTTAATATTTATTTTTATTTATTTCAGCCAGGACATCAGACATAGTTCAGATTGCAGCTGTATGTGGAGAGAGAGAGAGTTCAACATGTACTTGACACCGCAGTCCACAATTAGTCTTGATGCATCTGCAGCAACTGGGCTTACTTTTGTTGGTGGTGTGCTGAAGCATAATGGCAAGAAGGTGGACCATAAAGAGCCCTTTGAAGGACTTCAGCAGTTTGTTGAATTTTTGAAGACTGTTGATTGTAAACCTATTTTGGTTGGGCACAATATACAATGTTTTGACCTACCAGTGTTAATGAATCAGCTAGTCAAATGTAAATTACTTGACAGTTTTGCTAGCACTGTCACTGGTTTTATAGATACCTTACAAGTGTCTAGGAAATCTTTCAGCAAAGATGATGTTAAAGATTTTAAACAAGTCACTCTTGTAAATACTTTCATTGGAAAAGATTATGAAGCTCATAATGCTATTGCTGATGTGAAGGCATTGAGGGAACTTTTTGAAATGAAGTTGTTGGCTCTGTGTTCAGCTAATGTTGTGTTCACTTTGAATTATTATACCACAAAGAAGTCTTTAGAGCCCCTTGTTAAGGCAAAGATTGTATCTTCCATGATTTCAAAGAAGTTGATTGCAAATTCTCTTAGTTTGTCTAAGTTGGTGCTAATCCACAAGAGGGATCCACATAATGGGTTACGAAATGTTTTTAGTGAACCATTATCAGGTTCAAAGCAGCCTAGAATATCCAAGTCATCTAATGTAATCAACAAACTGGTTGAATATTTGAATAGCTGTGAATGATTACTGTTTGTATCTATTTTAATTTAGACAATACAGTGTGTAAAGTAAAGGTCTAAACACTTGTATGGGAGATTTCAGTCAACACTCAACCTCACGTTCGACTGTATTTGTTTTTTATGCTGTTAATATTCTGTTGTATACTAATTTTTTGTGTATACTGTTGAACACATAATTGGATGTACTTTGACTCAATGTAGTGGAAAGAGTAATGCTTCAAAATTGATGACTGATTAGACTGTGGATTTTCATTTCATTTACTTGAAAAACATATACATGTACATGTATAATATGTGAAATATATCTGTAATTAATGGCACACAGAAAGTATTATAGGTTGTAAAATTATATTATATTCTAAAGAATGATGTTATTCTTTTGCAGTTATGCATCTATGAAATGAAATAAAAGTCATCATTAGCTCTGGATTTTTTATCTTCCCTCATTTGAAATTCCTTATCATAAATCTCAAATTTGACAAAAAACGTGTAAATAAATGGTGGTGCTGAGAAAAAATATATGCTGGCAATGTGCTGTTTTTTTAATTTAATTTTAACAAATAGTCATAGATGAACATAATTTGAGAATTTGACTGAAAAATCACAAGTCAATTTTTTTTTTACAATAATTTTAATAGTGTTGTACTTCCAAGTTTTTGGGCTGGTCGAGGGTTGTATTTTGTTCAATTTAGTCCCCAAAAACCAAGGAAAATATAATAAGAATAAAATTTCACTGTAATTTGTTTAATTGGATATATTTCTTTGATTTTAATAGGAAAAATCATTCATTAGCATCAAAATTAGTGTTTTTATGTACAAATTATGTGAAACCTTTATTGGAATCTCATATCGTCAATTGACAAATAGGGGTACCTACCCTTGAGAAACTCTCTCTCAGTAATAATATTGACAACCCCTTCTTTTTTCCAATTCATCATACTTTAGTATGAACAATCTAAACATTTGAGAACAATTTTTTGAAAAATCACAAGTAGGTCCAGTATTAGGGACCTACCTTAAATGTCCGACAGGAATATTCATTTTTAACAAATAATTATATAATAGGGTTGTACTTTGCATGCACTGTGCCTAAATAGTAGTCAGGGTTTGACACATGGTGCACCATTCGGAGGCGAGTGTCAAACCCTGACTACTATTTAGGCATTGTACAACATTGTTACATGTTTTAGTATGCTAATAAAAAAGACAATATTTTCACTGCTTTCAATGTTTTATTACCTATTGCATTCATTTTAAAAGTTCACTCCTTTTATGACATCAACTTGTGCTATAAATGCGTTATTATCTTTTTCTTTAATTTTTAATGTTCCATTCATTAGGTATAATGTACAGATAGTTTTAGAGAATATTAGTTTAGTGAAGGGGAAAATTTTCAAGAAACTATTTTAGAAAACATATAGTGTAAAATATTTGAAATTGTTTGTATATATTATAGTACAGTTCTATGGATAACGGCGTTTGTAGCGTAACCGGTAGTGCATGGAACTGACAAGTTCGGGTTCATAAGCTCGATTCCCTTTGAGGGCGCTATCGAATTTTCATAAGAAAAGAAACTTTGCACTGTTTCGGCATAGTATGCTTACGCTATATAAATCCTTTAAGGAGGCTGGGTAGTCAACAAATTAACCACAAATTAACCATCAGATTTTACTTATTTTTTTAGATACGGTATCTTAATCCGTCAACTATCATTTGGCAAAGAAAAAATTCATAAATTTTACTTTTAAATTTTTTGTATATTTTTATATGAAGCTCTTCTTCTAAAGGAGATCGAAATAGCCCCTTTAACCAATGTGGGATAACAGTTTGGTATTGATTATATAGACACAAACTGACTGTTTACATATAAATATAGCCACATAAGCATTGATTTTGCAAATTTTCAATTTAAAAAATAATAATACAAAACCGCATTCAATATTTTTTGGATAAGACCAGGACCCTTTTAAGATAAGATAGTTGTAAATGAATCACAATTATCAGCAGCGACGAGACAGAGGAGAGATATTTTGAATTAAAATCCAAACAAAATTCAAAAAACGGCCTAATAGATTTATTAAGATTATTTGGGGGTAAAAGAAATATTGAAATTTTAGAAGAGTTTGATTTTGAAATTGAACAAAACACGATTATGTTGATAGTTAGTGGGACGCACTCACAGTTTGAATTACATTTTGTTTTATTCGAATGTCTTAATCGTAACTTCTTGCGGGATTGCAAATATATTAAGGAGATCAGAAAGAGGTATGGGGAGGGGGGGGCTCCCAGTGTTTTAAGAATAGGGATTCGTTGTAAATTAACATATAAAAATTCAAACACTGTACGCCCTTTTCTCACAACACACTCTTTGAAACATTTTTTGTTTCAACGGGGGAAAAGGTGTGCAATGTTTTTTGCGTTAACAAGTAAGGGAAAGTTCTAGCCCCTCTGTGTTTTACACTTGAGTCTTATTGGATTTTTTTCTTGCACCTCAATTTATACCCGCATTTTTATATAAACCTCGCTACGAGGCTGTCTTGTGTTTATATTTTCCCCTCTTTTCTTGAAAATAAATCACATTAGCTGTGCTACTCACGGACTAGAGAATTATATCAGGTTGATCATTTTTTCCAGATTTGATGGCTACTTTCTGTAATGATCAAATGTAGTCTGTCCTAAATGCAAACCACGGCATTTAATACCATCCACGATATATCAGACACCAACCTAGAATTGTTTTCATCAAATAAATATTGATCACACAACTCACCCGCTGTTCCGCTGTACCCAGATACTGTCAGTGTATATTTATTGGCTTCATCTCCGATGTAAAATGTAGTGTACACGGCATAGGCCTGTTCTCCACCATGACTTTTGAGGTCCACACGGAGTTGTTGGGTTTTATCCTTTGTTAACGTGTGGATTGCATCATTCCCTTTGTATGAGATGTAAAAAAATATCTCCTGAATTATTTTTTTATATTTTGAAAATAATTCTGGAATTGAGCAATCTCGCTTACTTTGCAATTTGAAGAATAAAATTTACGTACATTGGATTACTTTACATCTATGTAGTGTTTAATCAATGCTGACTTATACTTGTCAAGGGAGGGGTACATTTGAAACACTTCACACACGGCTTATCTTTTTTGTATAAAGCATAACTAATACCGGTATGTTATGCAAAGAGGGAATTACTGAGTTTTCTCATACTTTTTACAAGTCTTTACTTATTGTATTACGGTGAGATAATTTAAAAATATGAATATATAAAAAACACAGATAGTATATTCAATTTTTACATCAGTTAGCATATAATTTCCATAAATAAAAACAATTCATCTGTTGCCTCTTTAAAAATACCAGACATCTTATGAAATACAAAAGCATATAATATAATGAAACTAATGAGAATATTTTAATGATGAGACTTTTTAAAAATAATTTAACTAACAATTAAACTTAACTTAAATTAACTAACAATCAAAAAACATTTATGGGGTATTTTTAAAGTTGTAAGAATTAAATAAAGAAATACTGTATATGTCAGCATTGGAAAATTGTACATAAAAGGTATGGTAAAATTGCAACAATTGATTTAAATACATCATTCTAATGTTGAAAGCTAAAATAATTGTTCCTCTTTAAGTATATTTGTTTTAAAGCATATACATTTATGTATAGTCATGCAGCATAGGCATACTGCAGTAATTTAGTAAGAACATGTTAAATTGGCTAGAGTTTTCAGCAAATACATTAATTTCCTAGGTATTTAGTAGTCACAATTAATTTCCTAAACGGCCAGTAAATACATGTATTTACTGAATGGTTTAGGAAATACATGAAATTCCTGATTTTACATATTAACTATAACATAAATAAGGAAACTTGACAAAAGAAAAGCTGAAGGTATCTTGTTTCTTCATAAAATTCATAAAAGAACAAGAGCCATTTTTGGCCTTATTTGGCCCTGAGAATTTGAAAAATCAAAACCTCTCAGTTTAGGTTGCAAATACAGCATTTATCACTTGGAGTGTTGGTGGCCATGTGTCTATTAATCGTGATTAATAATTGTTAATAAAATTATTAATAAATTAATAATTGTCCCTGTAGTTAATGCATTATAACGTCATAAAATGCGTAATTTTTCTCAGATCCCGTAAATTCCTTTGAAATGGCGGAAAGTTGAATAATTCTTTTTCATTATTTTATATAGAGCACAACCTCTGATCCAAAACATCCAAAAACATAATGAAAATCGGTTTCTGGAGATCAAAAATCATGTTTTATTTCTTGTATCATTGGCTGTGTTCATTAATTTTTTGCTGAAGGTAGTCAAATATACATGTATTCTGCAATTTTCAAGAACATTGCAATTTCTCAAAGCCTGGATTCTCAAAATGAAATTTTATCATAGGAAATGAAAGCACCAAGTGTCTACGTTATTTTGATATATGAAATGGGAAAGAGGGTGATAGTTAATTAATTTATATAAGTACAGAGTCATTCTATGCATAAAGTGAACCTAGCTTTGGTTGCAAATATGTCTTTATCATCTTGTGTCACTAAAAAATGGAACACCAAACAATAAAAATAGCAGAATAAAATACAGTCCATGACGCTGTTTTTTTTTTAATTAAGGTCAGACGACACGTTCCTCAAATTTATAATTTGTATCTCTGGGTATTATATCAAAAATATTCATATTTGTCATTCTCTTCTAATTTCTACATTGTATTCAAAATGTTTCTAAATATAACTACACCAAAAATTTCGATATATGCCATTCAAAAGATTACCCATAAAGGTTATATAAGAAATATGACCCTGTGGTATCTTGTCCAAATGCCTGGTAATGTACCCTAATTTTTTGTGAGGAAACTTGTTTTAGTACCTATATTTCAATGACAAATTCTTAGGAAAAGTTATATATTAATGAGGAACGTGTCGTCTGACCTTAATATCTCCTTTAACCATTCATACATTTTGTTGTAACATATATATTGATTAATTTTTATCTCTTATTTTTGAAATAATCAAATAAATTGTCGATTTTATTTCTTCATAGTACTCAGTAAAAGGAATGCCAGTATTGTATTGAAATCCCTGGAACAGACGACTTCATCGATAAAAATAAGCTGTTTTAGGCTGTGTTTAAACCATAGAAGACGAGATATATCATATATAAATATTGCATTCTTAAATGATATATTCATTACAGCCGTGCAAGTTTTCTGATAATCTTTTGATGACGGTCAAAATTTATCAGAGAATAATGACTGTGGCATTTCTTTAATATCGGCAATAATTGTAGTGGAATTACAGATACATATGCTAGTATATATGTGTTGAAGAAATTTAGAGAGTTTTTTTTATTTAATCATCCTTTCTTTACTGTATTTCATATAAGAAAGAAAAATTACAGTATCCATGAAACAGAAATGATACGAATCCATACCTATCCAGTAGTTTTTAGACACATTCCCAAATCCCTCTTTGTACTCTTTCCATGTTCTGTAAAAGTCGCCTTCGCCATCTTCTCGTTTCTGGATTACCTGTAACAACATATATTTATTCAACTTATAACTTAATTTTGTAGATGAAACATATGGAGATAACGAACAGTATTCAAGACCAAAAGTCCATAAAACAATACAAAATAGGAGCAGAGCACACTCGGACCTACAAAACATCAGAAGTGGGATAAGGTGCCATGGAAGAGTCAGCATCCCCTGCCGACCGGTCACACCCGCCGTGCGCTCCTTGTCATGATCAGGGGGGGGGGGGGGGTTTACCAGAAAAATCGTTAATTCGGTGTAGAAATAGTAGACTAACAATTAGTATGAAAAAAGTCGGTCAGCATTTGACACAATGATAAATTGTATTTGCTGACAACGTCATTGTATCGACCAAAGAACGTACGAAGTAATTACTTGAAAAAAGACTGCTGATGTTCTTGTTTCATCAACTTGTTTGTCAAAAATTTACCTCATTTAAAATTGTTCATACAGAGTTTATGTATCTCAGTTGATTCGATACGCAAGAGCATGAACAATTTCATACGCGGTTGTGACCGGTCGGCAGGGGATGCTCATTCCTCCATGGCACGTGGTCTCATCTCTGATGTTTTGGAGGTCCGTGTTTGCTCTGCTCCTATTTTGTATTGTTTAATTGCCTTTAATATTGAATACTATTCGATATCTTGATATCCTCCATTATATCTTCATTGCACACTCTTTCAACGCCTTCACTAATTTTTTAAAATTTCAATCCAGTAAATAATTAATTAACTTCATTAACGATTAACTTGTCATCTGCTGAGTAGATTCTCAGATGAAAGACGTCTTTTTTAAACAACCTGATGAGAAGATATAAATAGGGCTATCATTTGAATAAACTCACCGTCCACCCTTCTCCATCAGTCGTCATGTCACAGTAGACCTCTCTCCAGGTGTTGTCGATGTATAACATTGACAATAAAACACACTACTCACCGTCCATCCTCCTCCATCTGTCGTCATGTCACAGTAGACTTCTTTTCGGATGTCAGCATAAAGAACGTACACTCCATCTTGTTCTATTTTGCCTGGGTCTCTTTTTAAAATGTCTGAGCAGTCCTTGTATATCTTTTCTTTTTAACGTGTAAAAGAATTTAAAATTCTTAAATTAACGCTCTATATCAGGCCTAAAGGAAGGAATTTCAGTTAGTTGGATAACAGTTTTGGGCACTATCAACAACTGAATATTCCTTGACAGGCAAAGAAATAGTCATCAGACGCTATTTTTGAGGGGGCACAAGCAAATATTACATATGTTTTCTATAGAATTCTATAGCACGCACCTCCTGACTTGCAGACTAGCCCTAACCCTAAAAGTCAACCCTTCAATAAATGACAAAAGTTATTGAGAATCTAAACTCTCACATTCAATAACTTATCTGCAAGAGTCTGTTATCTATTTCATGTGGAACATTCAGCAGGTTACCAAAACTTAAGTCCATATGAAATTTTGTTAATAAATAAATTATCGCCAAGTTATATACCTTGAATATATAACATCAATTGCATAATCTACAAGGGAAAAATAACTCGCGGCGTTAATATTCGCTATACGCACAGTGTTAATAAATTTGTGAATTCAAGAAACAATGAATATATTTTCAATGGTTTCAATTTCCATTTTTATTTGGAAATTTGAGAACAGACTACTATAGGTTTAGGTATATACATGTGCTTGCTGTACATGGTCATTTCAGTAATTACGAGTACATGTAGTATTTCTCATTCAATTATTTTAATTATAACTCTTTACTTTAATTCATATCAGCAGATAATACCTGTAGGCTATATGTTAATAAGCTGCTCTAATAGCCAAGACTACATATTTCGTGAAGAAAACACGTAGACCACGGGTTTTTAATTACCCGTGCGTAAATCAAGATACCACGTGTATTTGTTAAATGAATTATCATGTATATCAATTTTATCGACAATTTTGTTCCTAAAAGATCATTCAAATAACTATCGCACTGTCTCAAAATTTGGAAGGATATTGTTTTGTCGACCTATATTAACACATTTATTACAATCCAGTTTTTTTTGACCGCGTTGTTTTGAAGATCTTGGAGGTGTACATACACTCCTCGTAATAGCTTATGGGAAAATAAATTGACATTTATAGTCAAGGACTTTTGATAACTGCACCTCTTTTAATTAATTGTAAATCAATGATAAAATCAAAATATTTTATATTTACCTACCCTACACCGGTCATGGTAGCCCAGTGGTAGAGCGTTCGCTTCGTGATTGGGAGGCCCGGGTTCGATTCTCGTTCGCGGTGCCGCGTCATACTTAAGACGTAAACATAGGTAGTGACTGTTCCTTCGCCAGGCACTCGGCACTAGAAGTGAAAGTCACGGGTCTTCGGATATGACCTTAAAGACGTAGGTCCCGTGCCACGGTGGGCGTTGGGACAATAAAGAACCCTCACTGCTCAATGGCCCTGAGTGCCGAGTATAGGTCTAAATTTGAAGCCCTTCACCGGCATACGGTGACGTTTCCAAATCGAGAGGGACGATAAACAATACATAATCAATCAATCAATTAACCTACCCTACTGTTAGTGAAATAAAGATATGACGCTGATTAATGTCGTTTACATATATCTATTTTATGAATTAGACGGATATAGAAAAGGGAGGTAACTTTTATTATATCCCAATTCCACGAATTCAAGAAACCGCGATCGTGTCAGATGAGAGAAAAACGTGAGAATTACAACCCGTGAAATTAATCCCGTATACAATATTGTCCATTTTTTTGGCAAAACATGGTGTTTTAAATATTCTATATACAGTGTATTATAAAATTTCATTATTTAGAGATAGAGGGATTTCCAGATATGATAAAATCTAATAAAACAGTTCAAATAAAATACAACCATAGTCATCATACAGAGCAAATAATTTACAAAATTATTATTATTACAAATTTAAAAAAGGTTGTTAATTCCTGTAACATCAACTTATCTGTCAGTAGCTCACCTTGTTTAAACAGTGATTATACTTAATGCGTAAGGTGGATCAATCACAATCGAGGGGGAAGAACTGGAAGAGGTGGAACAATTTACTTACTAAGGGTCCATCATTAGTAATACAGGTAGTTCAGACGAAGACATTCAAGCCAGAATAAGCAAAGCCCGACAAGCCTTCGCAATGCTCAAACCTGTCTGGAGTTCCAGTACACTAAGTGAAAAATCAGAATATTTAATACCAATGTTAATTCAGTGCTTTTCTAGGGGTGTGAAACCTGGAGACTAACAACAGGATTACAACAAAAATTCTAGGTATTTACCAACAAATGTCTACGACGCATTTCTAAAGTGACATGGCCAATTAGAATATCAAATGAACAGCTACTGGAGCCTACCAGCCACGATCCAACATCCCTCCAGATTAAGAAACGAGCATGGCAGTGGATTGGTCATACATGGAGAAAGCCCCAAAACAGCATCATTAGAGAGGCATTGGACTGGAATCCACAAGATCAGAGAAAACAAGGGCGACCATTACACAGTTGGAGGTGAACAAGGTTGAAAGAGATTGAAAACATTGAAAAGACCTGGAATAAGGCAAAAAGAACAGCCCAAAACAGAGTAAGGTAGAGAACGACTGTAGTAGCTATATGCTCCACAAGAAAAGAGGAGGACTAAGTAAATAAGTAAGTATACACAATGCATTTTATTAAGTATTGAATAAGTTAGGAGGCGTAAACATCATACTGTAAGCAGGAGTTAACGAGATATTGCTACATAAATAAGTAAAGTTGAGAAAGAAAAAATGACGTCGTACAATTTTGTTTCTAGAACTATAGAATTTAAACGTTTTATGAGTTAAAAGCCAATAATTATAAGCATCTAGAAAACAAAAGAAATGTTGAGTTAACAATCGATAAACTAAAGTTCAAGAAAATTAAAAGAATTTTTACTTATTTTGGGGGTCATCCAAAGCAAGAGTGGACTGGAAATCATTTATTACCTTTTAATACTTGTACACATTCACCGTTTATACAGATGGCGTCCTCTGTACAGGTAGGATTTACACAGTTGCCAACGCAGTGCTAAAAATAACAAAAAATCAATATTGTGGTTCATTTGAAATGTAATAAAATATATTTTTCATATGAAAGATTAACGTATATTTTTACCTTTGGGAAATGTTCTCGGTCGACGTGAATTGAGCGGCCCTGGGTCATTAAATCACTAATATTTTGTGTAGCAAATCTTGTGTTTAGCCGACATGTCTTTTCTTCTCGCATCCAATCCACTGAGCGACATAACGTAAACCTGTTACAAACCATCATACATTTTCCAATGTCAGTATTGGTCAAGATGTGAAAACCAGGGACTGAGGTATTCTCCACATTGCTAATGATCAAAGTTTTAGGGTCGAAGCACTGCGAGCATCCCGCATGTAGCAGGCCTAGAAACTGACCAATGTAATAGAGACTGATCACTTTTTGAAATGTTGCTGAAACTATTACAACAGTTTTTGTCAACGACACATCAAACATTGTTGGTCTTTGGCTTCTGGTTGAGAAGCTGTTTTGGAATTCTAACTTAATCAGACAAAACTTTATAGCTTTCCTTAAAGATGTCGATTATGATTGATTAGGTCTCAGATGACGTTTCTCTTGTTATTTCTTGATTTGAATGTATTAAAGCCCACCGCGATGATACTTAAGTTAATTGTCTACAGTAGAATTCAATGGAGGAGAAAAATACTAATAAATCATTTAGTTAAATTAGTCCAATTTCGTTTGTTCTTCAATAAAACGTTAAGAAGAAAGGATTTAAAGTCAAAACATGAATTTGTAAGACCAACAAAAACACCTTCATTTTCCAGAAACAAATACATGTACAAATTCACGAGAAATAAAAAAAAAACTGAAATGTGGTACATTTTGAATTAATCACTGTTAGAAATGTATCCCTGATTTAAATAAGATTAAGAAATAACGAAGGGTAATAATTGTTTGAAGAAATATATATACAAGAAACGTTAATTATTTGATCATGGATTTTATACAAGTATGTACCTTGTGATTAGTCAAAATTAAATATTTATATGAAATCAATTATTCTCACTGAACTTGAAGTAAAAAAAAACACCATTATTATACTTCAGATAGTAGTACATATCGATATGATCTTCCATTATCAACTGCATATTGTGCCTCACGAGTGATTTAGATACCCACGAACTTGTTCTATTTGAGATATATTTTGAAATAGAACAAGCTAATGAGAATTATTTATGTAAAACATTTTTTTTCATTGATTTTTTTAAATTAACATTTTTGATATTAATTGGTTGTTATAGCGATTAATTATTACATGAAATAAGAAAGATTGATTTACATGTTATATTTCATATGATTGTTAAGGCATATGTTATAGAGGAATAGATCAAGTGCATACATCAAATGTAGTTTTTTTTATATTTTAAAAAATTCTAAGTTTACAAATCTAATGAATAGAATTCCACACATACGTCTTATCCAATAGCCTAAACAGGTCACTGATAGCTTAAGAAGGCACTCCCAAATTCCTTTTTAAGCGGTTAGCTTCGCTAAGCGCTTTATGGCATGTGTCCGATTTTTATCAAAACCGGAAACTTCCATAAGGCGCTACCTATCGACAACAAAAGTTCCACAAAGCCTCTATCTAGTACCTATGATTTGTTTCTAACACATATAACATATGTTAAATAAAATCAAGACTACCAAAACAACATAATCTTTCGGTTTTTTATTTTTTTCTGATTTTGTTTGTCAATGAAATAAATCTATAATTGTTGTATTAAAAAAAGTGTATATATAGGAGCATTTGGTGTCGAGATTAAATTTCCGTGACATCAGCTGATGGCGATCGGGCCCTGTGACGAAATTCGAAATCAGCATGAAGTTTAGCAGATAACATTATCAACGCATTAGAATTAAACTTTAGGAAGAAATGTATAGCGAGAAATATCATATTTGAACCCAATGCTACAAGAAAACCAGTAGGCATTTCCGATTTATGTGTTAAATTTAAGCCTGAATCGAACAGGTGGTCAAAATGGCATTGGACACC